TCTAGAATGGAAGAAAGAGAGAAGCTAGTTTAAGTATTCTTCTTTTTTTTTTTTTTAATGTGTGTTTAGTTTTACGTATAGTAATATTGAAAAACTTGTCAAATTAATCATTTTTAAAGCCAGGCCTTCGCCTCTTCTTGGTATTTCTAATTAACCATTAACATGTACTGTCATTAAAATGCCATTAATTTTGACATATATAAATGTCAATACAAGATCAAATTAATCAAACAAAACAACATATAATCTATTCCAGATCTCTATGTTATATTTAGCCTGTGCCAAAGGGAATAAAAAAACAGATGGAGCTGTCAACAGTATTTAGTTATTTAAAACTGGAATTTGTATGATATACCTTTGCAGAAGAAAAAAACTCAAACCAAAACATACAATGTGTACCAATTAACATTCTATTTTATTACTGTGGGTTCAATCTAATTTCTTACACATGTAAACTTAGACTCTAATCTCAGAAGCCATATATTTTATCCCAGAATCTGTAGAGATAAGACACCAGATGTTTTTAGAAACATGTTAAAACACAGTGTATGTTAGACCTAAAAAGGCAAAAGAGCATTTAGGATTCTGGTGCCGTGTTGCTTCTTTTAATGTTGTGTTGTTTGTAGTCCTTTATTTACTATATGTTCATATTTGTTTTGGTGGTTAGTTTGGAAATTTTTTCCATCCTCCTAATATCCTTCAGTGGCAGTTTTAATTAATTTTTCAATTGTTAAATACGTTCTTGAAATATACTGTGGAGTCTTAGATATGAAGAAAACTTGTTGGTGATTTAGGATACTTCAGCCAATGCAATCTGTTTTCCTAGAGTGAGTGCTATAGGATAGTGCAAATATTGAGCATTATGTGACTGTATCTGTCAGTGTGATGCTTGTGAGATAGCAATGAAAAATGCAATTAAAATCTGAAAATAAATCCTGGGAAAGGTGCTTTTCTGAAAATATTTAAGTTCTTGGTATAATTGAGTCCTTTGAGCTCTTTATGACATTGACAACCAGGACCTTGGAGACAGAATACTTTGTGGGACTTGAGGTTAACACGTATTTCCTTTTCCTGTTTTCATTATTATGTAAACAGTTTATGATGAAGATAGAGAGTAACATGGAATGTTTGCAAACTTTGGATTTATAAAGATAAGGTTAGAAATGTAAGGTTAGGATGGTTTTCAGTCTGCATATAGCATTTATCATACCTGTTAAGTGTACCTGCTTGAACATTTGTTAAAGATGGATGCATGATGCAATGGAAGGCAGTACCAACCTAAATTATAACTTATCTATTTCTTTTACTCGTGGCATCAAAAGTCAGTACCTATTTGAGAGAAAAACTTCAAAGCTCTGGGCAACCTCAGTGCAAGGATAACTATGTAAAATTGAATTGCTGAAGCGGTTAACTCAGGTTTCTTATGGTCTCCATTTCTGTGTGGGTATTATAACTCTTGGGCTTCTATTATGAGAATATGAAATTTTAAACAAGCTTCACATTTGATCAGGTTGTCATTATCGGGTTAATTTTCACTAGGGAGAAAAATAAAAAGACAAAGCACTAGATCTCATCCTTTGTCACATTCATTTTTTTTTTTTAAACAAAATCTTTGCTAGGATATTAAAACTCAGATATTGAAAATTATATTGCATAGATTTGCTGAAATACTGACTAAAAACTGGTGGTAGAAATCTCAGTGCCTTCATCTGACCCATAATTTCCCTTGCAGCAGGCATTAGGAATCTCATAATTTCACTGTATGTGCTTCATGTTACTTCTATTTATTCCAGGTTTGAGCCTTGACAATATTTTCTGTTTTCTTTCTATTTTTGTAATGCAAAAAATTGAGATAAAATCTTTAACTTTCAAATTTAAGTAAAGTGCACCCAAAGGATCTGTTTGTCTGTGAGGCTGATTTAATTATCAGTAGGCATGGAGAATGTCTTTTGATACTTTATTATCATGTGCATACTTAATTTCACTAGTTTGACCAATGTCATCAATTTTAGCCCTTCTTTGTCTGATTTTTCCCCCTCTTATTTGATGTTTATTTGTGTTACCCTTTGTGTTATCCTTATCATGTTTTGGTTTTCCATTGCTTTTACATCTCATAGATCTCATGGGCATCTTCCAGCTTCCTACAAATAGCTTGTTTGATTACCTCTTCTGGTAGAGTTCATGATATTTTTCAAAGGATTCAAGGTAAGTTGATCTTTACTGCCACTGTTTTGCCTTTTAAAAGATAAATGCCAATTCTGCCTTCTAGTTTCACCTTTACAATTTGCTCTCATCCATCCTTTATGAGCTCTCACAGACTTTGTACTCATAGGCCGTGTAATTGTGAGCCACACTTCAAAAACTATTGTGGTGCAATATGAATAAATTAGTAGAAGAAACAGTTTGTACCAAGGACCCAAGAGATAGATTATAGTTGTGCACATTTATTTACTTTATGATTACTCTGGTGCCTTGGAAAAACATTCCTGTTGTACATATTGCTCAAAGGTAACCTAAGGAAAGCTGTTCTACACACACTTGCTTTCAAGTGTCCAGGTTTCTCTCTGTTGCTTCAGCAAGTGCCAGAGCATACTTTCATCTGTTTAGTGGAGGTGACAGGAGCACATGGGTCTTCTCATGCCCTTTTTCATCAAAGCAAATCTTACTTTAGTTGTTTTTCACTTAAACACACTTGCATGTCCATGTTGCTTCCCAACTTTGTGTTTGGATATTGGCTAGTGTGGAAGAGATGGAATCTTAAGTCTTGTGGCAGGCAAATGATGAAGTGGACACCATTTATTTCAACCTCTGTGTTGTTTCTTTGTATGATGTATAGGCAGGAAAAATGAGAGAAATGTGCAGTTTCACATTTGGACAGATGAAAGTTTAAAGTCTTGGGGACAAGTGGTAGTAGATGCAAGGTGACATAGCTGAGACCTTACGGATGCAAGGTGACATAGCTGAGACCCTGGACCATGAACTAGTACTATTACTGCAATGTATTGAATCTCCTATGAGACTGAAGAAGTTGATTGGAAAGGAAGGATGGAAAAAGAAATTGTTAAGTCAGAAAAAAAAAAAAAAAAAAGGAAAAAAGGCAGGTAGGCAAGACAAGCAAATCGGAAGAGTGTTGAAGAGGGATACAGCAGCTGATGCAAGAAGAAAATGTATTCAACCATAGGAGGTCTTGGTACAATATAAAAGAATACCCTTAGCTGAGGGCATCTGTGTGAACTGGTTACTGATATCAAGGCCTTTAGCCTTTTAAGTGGTACAAGAAGCAGAGGCACATACGAGATTTCTGCAGTTTGAGAGCATTATGTCACTGCACTTGGTACTTGCTGAGGGACTTGTGCTGCAGATCACACATTGATTCAGACCTTTCTGTTCCTTTTAGAGACTGTTGCTGCACTTTGAAAAGATCTACTGATTTTATTTCATCCAAAAGGAATCCCCTTCACATGCAGAAAAACTGCCCCACAGTCTCAACCAATATGGAGTAAGTGGGGAAATGAGGGATTGCTGCACTCTACTGCTCTGAGCTATGTCACTGTTGTAGACATCTCTTAGCTAATATTTTATCATTTGTTGATTTTATATGCCTCAAGATGAAGTTCAGTGGGCTTGAAAATACCTAGGTTATACAAGTGTTCATAAATGCATTCATCCTTTCCTTTCAGGATCTTAATCCTTTATTATTGGTGCACCAATTAAAACAAACAAAAAAAAAAAAAAAAAAAAAAATTATGCTGACCTTTTGACTAAAGAAGAAACTTAAAGAGCAAGGAAAAAAATGCATAAGAAATGCCAATATTTTTCAGTATCTTTAGGAAGCCTTTCTTCTTCTTTGGGTAAATTAGTTTGTTAAAAAGCTACCACCTTATTCTAATTCCTTTTTCTCCTTAGGGAAGTCTCCCAGGAAATTTTCACCAAGAATCTTTTTACTGGAATTTGCCTTCCTGAAACACACTGCTTTTAGTTTGAATTATTTTCCTTCTAACCAAACTTTCAAGAATTTTATCCTTTTGTGGCCAGTCTCAACTACATTAGCACCTAATCTTCCAATTCACTCTTCATTCTCTGTTAATTGGAAGCAGAGCCTACCCACCCTTATTATTCCCCTCAAAAGCATTTTAGGAGTTTCCTCTTCATCCTGTTTCCTGTTGTATTCATAAAGTCTCATAGTCAGTAACCTATATTATCACTGAGGACTGTGCTCTGGTTTGCTCTTCCCAAATACACCATCTAATAGATCCTTCTGGTCTTTGAGGGAAATCCCAAGGTGATAATGTTGTTTGGGGTTTGTTTTGGGGTTTTTTTCTATAAGTTTATATATGTCCTCTGCAGTAACTTAGTAGTTCTTTCTCTCTTTTGGTCTAAACCTCAGAAAAAATGGATTCATCCATGCTCCTTTACTGTTCTTCCTCAACAAGATGTACTACATGAATTTGAATTCTTCCACCTCCTTCTCTCCTTAGATTGTTGTGTTATTGCTACCATTACCACTCAGCTGTGTGACATAATAATCAGGTGATTGGTGAATCTGAAGTCCAGTCTAACTCATGATTCCTGGTGTTATCAATGTACAGCTTCTGTTCCACTCACACTTAGATGGGTCCTACATTTGCTGTTGGGGATTGGTTGATTTGCTTCCCTAATCAGCTGCTTTGGAAGGTGTCCATGTCATCCTMCATGTCTGGTGCTCCCACATTCCTTTCCAGCTGCTCAACTACTTTTTCACTGCAACTCCTCATGCCTAATGTCACTGATATCCTTTTGTATCATATGGGCTTCTCTGCTTCACCACTTCATTTATAGGTCTTCTATGTTTCCTAAGGGATACGTGCAGAAAATCATCCATTCCTGGTTTCTGCTTTTGGAAGCTATTGGTCTGTGTTCCCTGGTTTCAGCACAGAACCTGAACTGGAAAATTTCCTTCCACAGTTTTTTTGTGGACACATCAGGAGGTAGCTGCTCGGTGTCCAGCCTGCATACTCAGAGCTGTAGACTGAGAATGATCTGATAACAAAGGTGATTCTGATGCTGTGCTTTCAAAGGGATGAATTTGATACTAAACTTCATTCTAAACTCCCTTCTCCAACTTGTGTCTAAAGTTGCCCTTTTATGAAATTCAGTAAGACATTGAAATGTTGATTCACAAATACATATCTTTCACTGTGCTTCTGTGATGAGTTGATTTGTACCATAGGAAATTTATGATAATCTGAGAACTTGCTATCATCCCTTGAAATGATACAGAATTTTTTTTTCAAGTTTTCTTGTGAAATGATCCCCTTTTCTCCCATTTGGCCACATAACTGATAACTTTTCAATGACTTTTGCCATGCTGAGCTATATGCAAGGAGATTAGCTAAGTCCCTTGACCATTGTGGTTTTAACACTGCTCAAATAACAGAAAGTTTATATTTCCACTCCCTCCAGACTGCAGAGAAGGAACTGGAACCTATCATTTAGGAGATGAGTGTTCTATTGAACAGGCTGTTAGATAAAATATGAGTTATTTTCAAGCAGCTTTGTGGCATTTCTTGCACTTTCATTTCCTTTGCCCTGATAACAAAAGATGGATCTCTGCAGCAAGCTACTTTTCTCTTTGTCCCATTTATTTTACTGACTGTATCAATGGAGCAAGGTGTTGCTTATTGAAAGATGTGTAGAAATTCTTTTGAAAAGCATTCAGTGTTTGTACAGGAATGGAATACTAAGTAACTGTCTAAACTTACATAATATAAAGACTGCCATGCTATATAGTCACACTTCTTGAATAGTAAAATTCTTTAACTCCCCAGTTTGATACAACACTTCTTTCTYACATGAAAATAATGATTTTTTATTTTGACAGTAATAGGTTCCTTAGACTGGACTGCTTTGAAAATTGATTTCTTTAATGCTCTTTAATGCTATGTTGTGATCAAGGAAGCAGTGTAATAGACCCTACTTAATGATATTTGTTTTGTTATAAGAAAAGCATCCTTTACTGAGTATAAGTGCCACTCCAGGGAGCTGTCAAAGGGTCTTCTTGGCTCTGGGTACTTCATTAACTCCACGGTATGGCTCATGACGTTATTGTAAGTTAAGCTTCTATAATGAATATAAAGCCACAATATAGTAAAATATTTAGGAAGGTACATATGCCTTAATATAAGAAAGTAAAAATTAATAATCAAATTTCTTTGGATGCTGAAATCTAAATCAGGGAATGTTTAAATTTCGGCCTTAAATCTGCAGATGAAAGACCYGGCTTGTGAAGCTAGTCTTACAATGCCTGTCAGTCACAGAATCATAGAATTAATTGGATTGGAAAATACCTTTTAGATCATCAACATCACGTAACACCACCTTATCAACTAAGCTATCACTGACTGCCATGGCCAATCTTTTTTGAAACACTACCAGGGAGGGTGACTCAGTCCCTAGGCAAACTATTCCAGTGTTCAATCACAGTGTCAGTGAATAACTTTTTCCTAATATCTAACCTAAACTTCCCCTGGTTCCGCTTAAGACTGAGTCCTCACTTTCTGTCAGTGGTTGCCTGGGAGAAGAGATTGACCCTCACCTGGCTACAGCTTCTTTTCAGGCAGTTGTAGGGAGAGATAAGGTCACCCTTCAGTCTCCTTTTTTTCCAGGCTAAACAACCCCAGCTCCCTCAGTCATTCTGCACAGCACCTGTGTTCCAGGTCCTTCACCAGCCTTGTTGCCCTCCTCTGGGCACATTTGAGCCTCTCAAGGTCCTTCCTAAACTGAGGGGCCCAGAAATGGGCACAGAACCAAGGTGTGACCTCACCAGTGCCAAGTACAGGGCAAGAATGACTTCTCTGGTCCTGCTGGCCTCACTGTTTCTGATACAAGCCACGATGCCATTGGCCTTCTTGGTCACCTGGACACACCCTGGCTCATGTTCAGCTTCTGTCACCAGCAACCCCAGGTCCCTTTCTGTCAAGCCAATCTGCCCCAGCTTGTAGCACTGTTGGAGTTTTTTATGGCCAAAGTGCAGGACTTAGCACTTGAACTTGTTAAATCTCATATTGTTGGACTCAGCCCTTCTATCCAGCCTTTCCAGGTCCCTCTGCAGAGCCCTCCTACCCTTAGGTTGACACGTACTCCCAGCTTGGTGTCATCTGCAAATTTGCTGATAGTGGACTCAAACCCCTCATCCAGATCATCGACGAAGGCATTAACCAGGACTGGCCCCAACACTGATACCTGGGAGACCCCACGAGTGACTGACTGCCAACTGGATACAGACACCTGCACCCACCACTCTCTGGGCCTGGTGTTTTCTGATGGAGCAGCAAGGATTTTCTGGCAATAGTAAAAAAGTCTTTTGGTATGAAGAATGTTGGTATTAAGGATTTTTGAGGGCAAATTACTTTGTTTTTTTCCAATAAGTTTTTCATTACTTATATGAACTAGATTGTTACCTACAAAAGAGCAAACATTAGAGTAATGTGTTTCTACTATTATATCAATAGACTAGCCATCACAGACTAAGGAGGTAAAAAATTACAGTTGCCCTTTCACACACAGGGTAAGTACTCCAATAAGTACAGAAAAGAGATGCTATTGTCTAGCCAGTTTGTGGAGTCCAGTTTTTAAATTCATGTATTCTGATGACAATATCTGATTTTTAGCATATCATGAATCAGTAATAGAACAATGATGCAGAAATGCCAGACATCCTGAAATAAACAAATGAGATAATTTTTCTCTGCTTAGCTATGGTAAGTGTTCACAAGTTGTGCTTATTCTGGTTTTTTTTAATCTACTGGGAGACAGATGGGCGGATTTATTTATATATTTATTTATTTAATAAGGCAGATTCGGAGCAACATGAAACATTAAGATGCAGAACTCAAAGAAAATGAACAGTGGTTATTTACTCTAAGAAATAATGTATCTGAAGGACAAACAGGAGTTAAGTAGTTGCATTATAAGCATTGGAGTTGCTGTAAGTATGAAGAAAATACTTTAAGCTATGAAGATAGTAGAGGTAATATGGTAAGTTGTCTAAAGACAATAGAGAGTCTGCCTATAAGGAAAAGAAAAAGAGAAAACCACACCATTCTGTCAGTAGTAGCTAAGTTAGAGCTGATTTTGCAATAGTGCAAGAGAATTGTAGTCTTTGCAGAACCTCTTCACTATGCCCATTGCTCAATTCAAGATATGCTTTATTATTTTTTAATAGGTATAGATACTGCCAGAATGGTTACCAATGCTTGTTTAGCACTTCTGTTTTCTGCTGCCCCAATTAGAGATTAGTGTCCCAAGAGCTGAAGTTTTGGTTGTCAGGCTCATTGAAAGGGCAAGGTGCAAACATGAAAGGCACAAAACACAAAATTGCATTAACACAGCCTATTTTGTGCATGTGACTGAATGAATTGCAAGGCATCTCCACCCAAATAATCTTTTTACTTCTCAAAATCTGGAAAGTACTGCATTAGTTCAGTGTAGTTCACTGGAATACAATAAGGGTAGATAGCA